ACGTTGCAATTACAGTCGAATAATAGTTCTATCACAGTGTAATATGATAGCGCCTGACAACTTGTTCTTGACTATCGTTGTTGCAATTCCAATCGTGTTTCTAATTTGCTTTAATTATATCCTTCCCGGTGATAATGAGGAAACCTTTGTGAAAGCACATTAGACATGTCAGACCTCTCTGTATTTTAAGTAGTAGGGATGAGTATTTGTAATTTGCTTTAAGAACAAATTGTATTGTGTGCTAATATCTTCCAGTTGCCTCTCATTGGCCAATCAGGGATTATAGATCTTCTGGTCTGCAGCAATTAGTGACATTTCATTATCTCTTATTTATTTTATTTCACTCATGTTGAGAACACAATATGGCTCCAGGACTTTGGCAGAAACATGTGCAGAACAGCAGCAGGGAAATGAAGTTTTGGAGCAAAGATGGTAATGTACTGTACAGAAAAGTTCTGCAAATAAAACAACTAAACAAAAGGTACATTTGTTCAGCTAGTACGACTCCAGTAGATTCTAGAGATTTCCAGAGTTTTAGGACCTTTCCAGATAGGCCCTGTATCCCAAGATCTGATCCCAGGTTTTCTGCTTTAAACTGGAGTGTATGAGTCCACACTGCCAGATAATCTGGGATAAACAGAAAACCTGGGATAAGATCCTAGGATATAGGGCCTGTCTGGAAGGGCTCTCTGGGATTCCTTCATTTTTAGTCTTGATTCCTGGGAATCTGAAGGATGGCCCAGAAACAATATGGAAGACCAAGTCATGGAATTAGTGGCAATTAACTTCTTGTATCTGTACCCTTGCCTCTCTGATAATGGAGACATTGTATTCCAAGTTTGCTGAAGTGGCCCCCAGGCCTGCCCTTGACTTATATATGCAGTCAACTTATGCACAAGTATATATGGTAAATGATGTAATGCCTTTAAAAAACACTTAAAACACTCAAGATCACCTGAAGTCTATCACCACAGACGGAAAAGAACTACTGTATCCTGGGCATAAAGTTGCCATTGACTATGTAAACTTCCCACGGGAGAAAAGCGGAATAAAAACAAACAAACAAACAAACAAATAAATATGAATACTTCTCCTCCTCATTAAATCTATACTCTATACTCTCAAAGGACATTAAAACCACAACAATGTGTGAATTTAAACCTAATGCTTATGAACATTAATACAGAATTAAACATAGAAATATTATAAATACATACAGTAGTTGAAAGCAATAAAACCATTAAAATTGTTAGTGGTTTGCTGTCAATGCAGTCTTACAACTATTAAATTGTGGGTTACCTCAAAGGAAGTGTGTACAGAATAGATAGATTTATACGGACCATCCTCTTTCTATGTATTGTTGAAGGTTTTCATGGCCAGAATCACTGGGTTGTTGTAGGTTTTTTGGGCTGTATGGCCATGTTCCAGAAGCATTCTCTCCTAACATTTCACCTGCATCTATGGCAAGCATCCTCAGAGGTTGTGAGGACCTCACAACCTCTGAGAATGCCTGCCATAGATGCAGGTGAAGCATCAGGACAGAATGCTTCTGGAACATGGCCATACAGCCCAAAAAACCTACAACAACCCGTCCTCTTTATGCACATTAATGCCCATGTATTGATTCTCTTAAGAGCTAGACCTTATGATTTATGTGATGGACTAATGGACATTAGATACTCTTTGACTCATGGTGATGGGAGCTTTCAATGTATGTAATTTGTTGTTTCTATGGTCATTCTTGCCATGTACAGCATTTGGTCAACTCCTAGTATTTTAATGTACTCTGAATACAATTTTTTGAAATGTCATGTAAAATTCTTTAAAAGAGAGATACAGAGAGACTAATAAGCAATTGGCTTGAATTTGGATGTTTTGTGACAAAAGAAAAACAGCCATTGAAATAGCCATGTGGGATGTAGAGTCTGCCTTGCACACGTGGGTGTCCTGACCTCAACAATAGCCTCTTAACTACACTTTCATTTCAGAGGGATTTTCCCCCTCTTTAAAGCCTCAGGGAACCAACAAGTCTTTCTATCTAGTTAGGACAGTTCTAAAGGTTGCCATGGAAATCCCGCAGGCTCATCCCCTTCTCTGTTGTGTCCAATGTCTCCACACCAAAGACAGATGGCCACAATGTTTTGAATCATGGATTAGAAGAAAGATAAGTTTGAAAGTTCCTTCAGATCATGATTTTAGAGTTCAAAGGGGTTATGGATGAAGACTCCATCCAGGGTCACTTGACCCACTGGGTTCATGCTGAACTGATGTTAACAGATCTAATTTTTGAGATTTTTTTTCAGGTAAAATATAGATATTGCAACAGCCTGCGATTTGGAGGGCTTTGGTTCAATTCTGCTTTCTGCTGCAGGCTTTCTATGAGATTTGGTCCTTTTCACTTAGGCTTAGTTCTGCACATTCAGTATTGGAGTGGCACTTGCCCGCTTGCTTGACCTCAGAAGATCTCTGTTGTGATCTCCAGGATTGTGACTGTGTTTCCGAGTATTTCTTTACACCAAAACCATGGTATTCTCATCCTAACAAAGTTTATCTGGAAATACATCTATTTGCTTTTGTGCCCCTCCAACTGATGTGCTCACAAAACCCAACATCTAGTTTCTTAGCTGTATCTGTCATTCAGCTCATGCAAGGGCTTAAAACTTTGATAGAAATATAGTTTTATTGTTATCTCCTTGCAATGTTAGAAATTTGGAGATTGGATGAGTGTAGAGTTCTTTGTTTGGGAGTGTAGAGTTCTTATTGGGGTCCAATGCCTTAATCCCCCCCCCCCCCAAACCTGGTAATTTTCCTCCGCTCATGTTTATTGAAAGTTCTCTTGATTTTAGTATCCTTATTTAGGAGGGCAGAGGTCTTTTGTTTTTGATATGGCCGAACCACTGAAGGTCAATATCCTTTGTGAATTTGAATAAGTTAAACCTACCTTTTCTCTGTTCCTACTTATGTTTATATAGCTGGAGCTTACCACAACGGGTTCATTTTCAAATGCAGTCCCAAATATACAAATGGACCCATTTTGATAACTTCTTAAACATAGGTAAGAAAATTTCCCTAAAACTGAGCCAGCATGGTGTGGTGGTCTGAATATTGGACTAAGACCCTGGAGATTGTAGTTTAAAGCCCTGCTCGGTTATGCAAACCCAGTGAACAAGCTTGGATAGTCACACTCTCTCAGCCTCGGACATGTAGAATATTCACAGGATGTCTTAAACCTACACCTGCTGATAGACTCTATAAGCTAGCTGGCATTGCCTCCCCAATGTGCGATGGGAAGTTGCTGCCAGTTGCAAGAGAAATAAGGTTGAACACTGTGAAAGCCACCCACTATATGGCTCTCAGCCTCCTCCCAGTAGATGTAAATCAAGGAAAAGTTTCATAAGAACCACCACTCCTCTAAATGTTCCTCCAGCAACAGCAAGAATATTCCTGTGGACAGCAAAATCAGGGAATTCCAACTGGATGGTCCCCCACGAGGGTCTTCCTTCAGAGGCAAACCAAGAATGGGCAACTTGGAAGTCCCTGAACAGTTTCAAAGGTGGAGTGGTCAGATCAAAAGACAACCTGGCAAAATGGCACTACCTAGAAGAATCCTCCACCTTTGGTGACTGTGGAGCAGAGCAAACAACTCGGCATCTGTATGCTTGCCCACGATGTCCTGCCTCATGCACAGAGGAAGATTTGTTTAAAGCTACAAACAATGTGGTTGCTGTTGCCCATTTTTAGTCTAAAATTATCTAGCAGCTTGTGATCCCTTTATTTTATCAGTTTTAGATAAACTATTTTATGCAATGCTTTTGAGATGAAATAATAATAATAAGCCTCAGATGAAGATAATGGTAGACTTCCTCTGAACAAACATTTCCAAACAAACCTTCTGATAGATTTGCGTTAGGGCTGCCCTAAGTGGAAATGACCTGAAGGCTCTATTGTATCGTACACAAGGCAGCTCTCCTAAGGGCTGATCAACTTTCACTTTTCTCCTGGGGCAAATTATGCCTGACTACATGAAAACAGTGAGAGTTTTTGTTGTTGGGTATACTATGTGAGCCACCAACATTTGCTTGCAGGGTTGTCAACAGTGTGTTCCACCCCAGTGACATTTAAACTGTTAGTTTAGTCACAGCTCTAGTCACTGGGCAATTTAATGTATGTAAATATTCACATAAGCAGGAGTTGCTCTTCATCTGAGGAAAGCACATAGCCTCCAAAAATAGTTCTGAATCCTAAAAATAAAAATTATTCCCAGAACAATAGGCCTATGTATCTATACATCTCTCTTAGTGAAATATCTCACAGATGGTATAGATGAAAGAAATATCTGTAATATTAACATTGTGTAGAATCACACTTGACAAAGAGGCAATTAAAGGAATAATAATATAATTATTTTATTTTTATACCCTGCCTCAATCTCCCTGAGGGGACTTGGGGCGGCTTAAAAAGGACATGCCCAACAAAACAGGTTAAAATAAGGCAAGATCCCATGCCTTTAAAGATGTGAGCTGTTGCATTTATCTTGAAAACTTTGCAAATGTTTGAAAATGCTTTGCAACAAAGGTGTGCAACAAACGTGATAAGAAAGACAAGACAAGAGAAAAACATGTGCACAGATTTGCTCTTGCTCTCTAGAAAGCTGCCATGTGGTACTAACCATGGACAACTCTCTCTCTGTGTCTCTTCTGTATTTTGATTATCCCTTCACCCTCACTGACAGGATTCCTTCCCTTGCCTTCTTATTGCCAAATGACCCAGAAGGGAAGAGTTGCCTGGGCCCATGAAGAGCTATTTAACCTATTTTCATCAAGGGGTCTCTTTGGCCATAGAGTGACTCTTTGGTGGTTTCTTTTCCTTTAACAGGCTTAGCTTTCCTCCATTGTGCCTGATCACTGGGCAGAAATGCAGAAATTACTATCAAGCTATCCCATCTGACTGGTGCATGTTTTTCACCCCCTTTCCTTCCTTCTCCTTTTCTTTGATGACAGATCTGGAAGCAAACCTGTGCAGAGTAATGGGCAGTGCTGGCCAAGGCCTGACTGCTCTGCCACATAGCCGAGTCTGTTTTGAGGATCCTGTGCTGTTTTTGGGCTTGGAGAAACTACCTGTGGCTCAAAACCCTGACAGCCGAAGCTGGAAGTCCCTTGACAGTCCAAGTCCCCCTGCCACACCTGAGCAAACTCTCCCTGCCTTCTGCCTGCAGTACTTTGACATGCTCTACCCAGATGACTGCCCTTGGGTCCCTAAGGGTCTTGGGGAGAGTCAACAGCCCAACAGCCAAGGAGGTAGGGCAGAGGTGCCCAAAGAACCAGAGCAGTGCCCAATCATTGACAGTCAAGGTTTGAGCCTCACACCTGATATGGACTACTCAGCCAGCCTTCACCTGGAGGAACACTCCCTGGAGCAAGTGCAAACTATGGTGGTGGGTGAAGTCCTCAAGGACATTGAAACAGCTTGCAAGCTTCTCAATATTGCTGCAGGTGAGTATCCCAAAGGTGTTTTCTCTTACTGGCTTGGAAGAAGAAAATGTTTGTGGTGCAGAAAAACAGTGTTATTGGGTTGTTGTTGGTTTTTCAGGCTGTGTGGCCATGTTCTAGAAGTATTTTCTCTGGACATTTCGCCTGCATCTGTGGCAAGCATCCTCAGAGGTTGTGAGGATGCATGCCACAGATGCAGGTGAAACGTCAGGAGATAATGCTTCTAGAACATGGCCATACAGCCCAAAAAACCTACAACAACCCAGTGATTCCGGCCATGAAAGCCTTCGACAATACAATGGTGTGATTACTAAATAGATTTATTGTTGAAGGCTTTCACATCTGGAATCACTGGGGTACTGTGTGGTTTATGGGCTGTATGGCTGTGTTCTAGCAGCATGTTCACCTGACATTTTGCCTACATCTGTGGCTGGCATCTTCAAAGGATTAAATCCCACTAAATAGATTTCTAGGCACCATGGAAGTTCAGTGGCAGATCTTGAGCTACTTTCAAATCCTTTCTTATTTTGCCATTGTTCTAAGATACCATGTGGTTGGTTATGTCACCATCTTAATCAACAGAATTGTCACAAAGAAAATAACCCAAAATGTCATTGGATTTAATATGAGAATACATGGAATGGGCTACTGTTTACTTTCTTGCTTTCAAAGAAGTATCCATGCTAGTTTCATACAACATAAGAAAGAAGAAGAGAGAAAGAGGAAAATGGAATTCAGCAACAACTTAAACTGTTTTGTATTTTAGCTTGAGCTTTCACAGATATAAACTATGAAAGCTAATGCTAAAATAAAAGAGTAATATCCACAAGCACTCATGCTAAAATAAATCTCAGTCTTAAAGACGTTGCTACAATCCTGCTTTTATCCTACACCTTTATCCTCGTTTTTTGTCTCTGTGATGCATGCGGTACAAAAGTAATGTGAAATGCATTTTGGTTGATGTGAAATGCATTTTGGCAGAGTGGCCAAAACAGAATTTCCTCTGTTAAGCCACAGAATTATCACCACTGCATAAAACTTTTTTTAAAAAGAAGTCAAACTTCAAGACTAGAGATTTCTAATCTTCCCATTTAGTCCCTGGACCAGGGAAAAATTCAGAATGCCACAATGAACCAGATTTAGAGCATGTGACTTGAAACACTAAACAGTGTGATGTGCAATATACATGTCCAGAAAACCCAAGTCTTCATGTTTCTGACATTCACTAGATTTATATGCTGGGAGTGGGGGTGGGGTTTGCATAGTTTCTCTAAATTTTGCTTAAATATGGATAAAATATGTAACTAGTCTTTCTAAATCTTCTAGAAGGCATAGATTACACAACCACCTATTGAATTGAGTGGGAATTGCACACTTTGGGATCCCAAAATGGATGTTTGTGTATATGTCTTCATGTCGTAGAATCATAGAGATGGAAGAGACCTCGTGGGCCATCCAGTCCAACTCCCTGCCAAAAACCAGGAAAATCACATTCAAAACACACCTGTCAGATGGCCATCCCACCTCTGTTTAAAAGCCTCCAAAGAAGGCACCCCTACCACACTCTGAAGCAGGGAGTTCCACTGCTGAACGACTCTCACAGTTAGGAAGTTCTTCCTAATGTTCACATGGAATCTCCTTTCTTGTTATTTGAAGCCAAGTTGCTTTTGACATGGCAACTAAATGAATATCATAGCATTTTCTTAGCCTAGGAGTACTCAGAATAGTTCTACCAGTTTCTTCCTCTGAAAGATAAGCTACCACATGTAGCATTCCTCAAAGTTCCAGCCAGGACTACCCAACTCAGCTTGCAAAACCAGCATTTATTGTGTTTGGACCCAATGCAGATATATGTTTGTTTCAAAGAATCATAAAGTTGGAAGAAACCTTGTGGGCCATTCAGTCCAACCCCCTGCCAAGAAGCAGGAAAATCACATTCAACGCACCCCCGACAGATGGCCATTCAGCCTCTGTTTAAAAGCCTCCAAAGAAGAAGCCTCTACCACAGTCTTGGGCAGAAGCAGTACAAATTTTACGAACTCTCTGCAGATATACGGGATAGCATTTGTAACATCACAATCAGAGGCAATTACTTCATTGCAAGACCTTTCCAGTTCAGTCTTTCTCCACTCCCACTAAAATTGGCAATGGAATAATCTGAACGCAGCAATGATATTCCTTTAAAGAAAAATATGTCAGAGCAATTGAAATGTAGGTGCATGGATTAAATGGTGCTTGCATGTCTTAGTGCCTGCCCTGCACTTAATTTTCAGGTTTTAAAACATACACAAAACTGGAATGCATATTCATTTTCTGATTATATTTAGCAGCAATGATTCAGTAGTTGCAGAGGGAAATGGAATTTATTATTGGAAAGCTCTGTGTTCATAGGCAAGAAAGACACGCTGCTGATCTGATCTAATGTTCTTATGTCTCCTGCCATTTGGGTTACCTCTTCGAGATTTCAGAACAGCTTTCCCTATGTGGACTACTTCTGATGCTGTTGACTACATACATACCCATGATTTATTCCCATTTAATTAACTGGGGTTGTTAAGTGAAAACTCATAGATGGGTCACATACAATCTGTAGCAATAAGCAATACATGAGAAGGTGTTTTCTACATAGCTATTTATTTATTTATTTGCTTCACTTGTATACCGCTCTTCTCAGCCATCAGGCGACTCAGAGCGGTTAACAACCAGTATCAACAATACAATACAAAATCATTAATCATTTAAAACAGTAATATCCATTAATTAACATCAGAACATCAATACAACAATACAGAAAAACAACAATCCATCACGTCTCATCAATAGAATCAGCATCCAATCTCGTTGTCCATTAATCCATATTCCAATAATCAATCAATTGTACTGCTTAGTTGAAAGCCTGATCGAAGAGCCAGGTCTTCCCTCTCTTCCTGAATGCCAATAAGAAGGGGGCCGATCTAATGTCTGTAGGAAGGGCGTTCCACAGCCGGGGGGCCACTACTGAGAAGGCCCTGTCTCTCGTCCCCGCCAGGCGTGCTTGTGAGGCCGGCGGGACCGAGAGCAGGGCCTCCCCAGATGATCTTAACGTCCTAACTGGTTCATAGGAGGAGATGCGTTCGGACAGATAGGTCGGGCCAGAACCGTTTAGGGCTTTAAAAGCTATGAATTACTTAGTTATGAAGAACATTACAGAAGATGGGAAAGTTCTCCTTTCTGAGTTCCGGTCAGCTAAAATGCTTCTGAAAGTCATTTGGATACTAATTCTAATTGACTCAGTGTACAATCTATCTCCATCGTTTCTTTTGTAGACCCAGCAGACTGGAGTCCAGGAAATGTCCAGAAGTGGATTTTATGGACAGAACACCAGTACCGGTTGCCCCAGATTGGGAAATCATTCCAGGATCTCTCTGGAAAAGATCTGTGTGCCATGTCTGAGGAGCAATTTCGTCAGCGTTCCCCAGCCTGTGGTGATGTTTTGCATGCTCACCTGGACATTTGGAAATCAGGTATCTAATGTCATAGTAGGGAAACAGATGGTGCAGCTAAAAGATCTGGCTAGAACTCATTATCACAGTTACAAATGTGTAACCTAGAGTTACTCATTCATGAACTATCCATATTCACGATCCTTATGTATTTAATAAAGTAGAGAATGCATAAGGATTGTGAACATTGCTCAGTCTGGCCTTACTAGGCAGTGGCTGCTGTGTCCATTGGGACACAGTATGCAGATGACTCCTAGAAACTGGAGTCTATGCAAACAGTCTGTGCAAACCCGAACAATTTGGTAGTAGCGACTCAAGGCAACGCCTGAAGAGCATACGATCTAGAGAAGGTACAGATTGTACATATTTGGCTCATTGTCATGTTTTGTGACATTGTGCAAGCAGTCAGTCTGGTGGTACACTGAAAGTAATTGGCTTAGATTGATTCTGTTTATATCAGGCATGGGCAAACTTCGGCCCTCCAGGTGTTTTGGACTTCAACTTTCACAGTTCCTAACAGCCAGTAGGCTGTTAGGAATTGTGGGACTTGTAGTCAAAACACTTGGAGGGTCAAAGTTTGCTCATGCCTGGTTTATATCATTTATCATTGAAAACCTGATACGTAGGTGGACCTTTCACACAGCAGAAGCCTGAGCCTTTGTTCCCTTCCAGTTCTCTCAGATGCCATTTTCTTGTGTTTTATAGAAGAGACCAGAAAAGAAGGGAAATAATGGAGAAACTGGGCATATCAGAGGTTGGGTTGTTGTAGGTTTTTCGGGCTGTATGGCCCATGTTCTAGAAGAATTCTCTCCTGACGTTTCACCTGCATCTATGTCAAGCATCGTCAGAGATTGCTAGATAGATCATCCTTTAATATCTGTGCTTGCTTTCCAGCTGCCTGGATGAAGGAGAAGGCTGCCCCTGGAGAGATGCATTATTGTGGTGAGCTCACTCTTGTCTAGGATTGTAAATTTTCCTAAATTTTGTGCTCATGGGCAATAACAAATCCTATTTTCACCATTTTTCTATATGTTACACAGAAGTCCCCAAATCTGGTTTGCTATTGAGAATTTATTCTGCTGAAAATATATATCCAAATGTCAAGTGAAGATAAATTTTCTGTGCAGAACACATATTTTCAATGAAATGGCTGCATGTTTTAAAATTGTGTATAAAATATTTATGCTTTCATTCATTTTATGTGTTTGCACAGCTTTACTAATAGTAAAGCCCCCTTGAGTCCCATTTGTAGAATGGAATTGAGATATAAATCAAAGACAGAAATTAAAAATAAAAGTGGTATCACATTTTTATTTCCTCTAATACCCTGTATCTCTTGCTATAGGGAATGAAGAGAACTGGACAGACAGTGAAGTAGATTCATCCTGCTCAGGCCAGCCCATTCACTTATGGCAGTTTCTAAAGGAGCTTCTGCTGAAGCCACATAACTATGGTCGCTTCATTCGTTGGCTTAATAAGGAAAAAGGTATGTGTCACTGAGGCCTTTCATAATTTATTAATATTTTGTTTTTAACATACGGGCAGTCCCCAAGTTACAAACATCTGACTTGCAAATTACTCATAGTTAAGATCGGGTCTGAGACAACAGGAAGTGAGAGAAATCTTCTAGGGAGGGAATTGCACCTCTGGGCGAGTTATCGTGGGGAGTAGGTGTCTCCACCGAAACTTTCCCACCAATCCTTGTTTCCTTAACAAGCCGTATTTTTCAAAATCCAATTATCACAAAAATAGAAAGTGAGGTGGAATCTTCTGAACAGGGGCACAGACAGTAAAGCAAACACCACAGGGGTATTAACCCTTCCCTATGCTGGCCAAAGCTTAAAAATACATTTTTGGCTGGAGTTACACTTAGAAAATGGACCTGTTCCAACTCATATACAAATTCAACTTAAGAACAAACCTACAGAACCCATCTTGTTCATAACTTGGGGGCTGCCTGTACTATAAACTATTTTGGCTCCCATATTAGAAGAAAGGCGATATAGGATTGTCTGTCTGTTGGTCAGTCCAATTCCAGATTCTGTTGTGCAACAAGAAGCTTTAATTCTGATTTATGTGTTGGATATCAGTTCCACCATTCTAGTACCGAAAGGTAAATGGGATAGGGAGTCTTCCCTACACTGCTGTTTGATATTGTTCACAATTCATATAAGTGCTATCTCCTGCGGTCCTAAATCTTCCCTCCCTCCCTCCCTCCCTCCCTCCCTCCCTCCCTCCCTCCCTCCCTCCCTTCCTTCCTTCCTTTGAAGTTGGGGGATCAATCAGTTATCTGAATCAAGATATTATAAGAGAGCCTCAGGATACTTTACAGTTAGATGGAAAGCTGATCATAGTTAGAAAAAAATGACATAATTGGCTTTCTTGTTTCCCTTGTTTACATTCTAGGCATATTTAAGATAGAAGATTCTGCTCAGGTGGCCCGCCTATGGGGAATCCGGAAGAACCGGCCTGCCATGAACTACGACAAGCTGAGCCGCTCTATTCGACAATATTATAAGAAAGGGATCATTAGGAAACCAGATATCTCACAGCGGCTGGTCTACCAATTTGTACATCCTGTTTGAAAAGCAGAGCAAGTGGAACAAATTCAGAAATACTGACTACCTTGTGGAGGATAACTGGCACAGGACCCCCTTCTCCTCTGCAATATTTTAACACAGAAGAATTCAAGCACTGGACAGGAGGCTAGGAACCTGTTTGATCTTCAAAGACATGTGCATTGACTAAGTGTGGGAAAAGAGAAACACACTTGACTGTTTTTGTTAAGATAAAATGGAAAAAGAAGTAACTGCTATGAAACGAAGCACATGGTTTTGTGTATAGGACTTTTTAATATACAGTGTAGCTAGATTTCTGTCTCTCTAGCTCCATCCTATGGGAAGCCAAGAGAATGTGGGGAATTGGTGGAAATTGAGAGAGAATGGTGGTGGGATTATTTAGTAGGCGTGTTTCTTCTTTTTCTCTGAAGTTTTTGTAAGAAGCAAGGGAACAATTTTTGGTCAGAAAAGCAAGGGAACAATTTGTGAAACTTTGCTAAATCTACATTGTAGAACAAATCATATGAACCAGGTGTACTAATGAGTATGTTTGGTAATTTTTGAGTTGATGGACAGATCTCTAACACTGTATTGTTTCATGTTCCATAGTTTTGCATGGAAATCTTATAAGCTGCCTTAATGGTTCCATCTCCTTGGCCATCTTTTGCTTCCCACTAACAAGAGTGCACTGTGAGAAAAGAAATCACTTCAGTAAAATTTGTCATGGCAGGTTGCAATCTGACAAATTTGATAATTCCTCCAAAGGACCTTTTAAATCTTGGCACAATGCTTTGGTGGGAGATTGGTGTTTTTTGACATAAACTAAGAGTAATTATTTAAGTTCCAATATAATGTTTTAAAGTTTAATTCAGGATTTATTTGATGATACAATGATATGGTCTTGCTGAGAACAGAATGTGGCCCCCTAGTTTAGCTCAAGATCGCAGGCTAGGTGGTTTTTTTGTATTGGCAGACTAGATACGTCCTCATATACATGGTGAATGTAATAGTAGAGCAGGTATTGCTTCTACTATTGTTAGCAAAGGGACAGAGCTGCCCATTTGCAGTGTATGAATCAACTGTACTTGAGAAGAAAGACAATAGGGCCATGTGCAGCAGCCTTCTGCCAGGGCTCATGTTGACCCAAGGCAAGAACACTTTGGCTCCTGTATGCCTTCTGAGGCCAATTGGCTGAGCATCTGAGCACTGCTGAGCAAAACAGAGCCATTGCTAGGCTGTACAGAATGAGATTCTGGCAAACACAGAGGTTGCTCTGGGGTATTAACAGTACCTGGCCCCATGCACTGATCTCTGATGAACGACAACCATCTTGACAAAGCAGGGTTGCTGTTGCTGTTGACTTTCTCACAATACGCCACAGGTAGCGGTAGTGGTGCAGCAGCATGGTTATGGAAATTGCCTCCCAACCCCACCGGGTGATTTGATTAATCATTCTCTGTCTGTTCAACAATGTCAGCTCCGCATCTATATAATAGAATTGAACTATGCCAAATTAGGCCAGCCGTGGGGACTTTTTAAAGCAATGGTTCTGAATGTTACCAAGTGCATTGTGGCATATGGGGAGGAAAGAGTGAAAAGAGATGGATTGTCCACCAGATCCTCTACCACACATGCAGATTTTTTTTCTTTTTTACTGGCAGCTTCCAAGGCCAGCAAAGCATACAGGACAGACTGGAGCTGATTTTAATAGCAGAATGCAAGTGCAACAGTTATGGGGGGAATGAATCATGACAAAGATAGTCCAAATGTTTGGGAAGTGGGGAATGTTTGCAAAGTTTGGAGTTCGGTTTGAACTTATGATATTGCTATACTTTGTTGTTATGTGCCTTCAAATCAACTCTGACATATGGTGACTCTTATCCTAGGATTATTATTACTATTTGCAATATTAAGAGATTACCTTTGCCTTCTTCTGAATATGGCCTGGTATCCGTGGTTCTTTCAGCATTCAAGATAAGATAGGATCGAATGCCTCCAGAGTATTAATACACAGAGTACCCTTCCATTAATCTGAGTTCCCTTCTATTACTCCTAGTCCTAGTGTTCTTTTCTGGTCAATGTTTGTTGTTTGTACTGCTCAACCTTTAAATACTTTACAGATTACTTTAAGGTAGACCTGCCAGCCAACACAGTCAGTGTCTGAAAATTGTGCGAAAATTGTGCAATTCAGTACTGGGGAGGTTGATCTAAATTAGTGAGTGCTTCCATACAACTAATTTCCACTTCCTCCTTTCCATTCTTAGCCTCTTTTTTAAAAAAATTGTTTATTTTAAAAATATTTTTTATTTTGATTATAACAGATGTAATAAAAAACAAATTGGTAAAAGTGATGTACATGATGTTAAAGACAAACTGCACAATGGACAGTGTTTTGAAATGCTTTGATAGTTTTATGTAATGCAGCTTAAATATAGAGATTATATTCCAAATATTTCTCAGTCTAATTTAGTGGCAAGTCTCCTTTGCAGTCTGCATAAAATGTCTCTCAATAGCTGCCTATTTTGGCTTCTGCTTTTTCTTGGTTTGTAGAATAATTTATATTTAAGAAGCTTGTGGTAAGATTTCTCCTTTGATGGAGCCCATGGGAACATTTTAATTGTGTGTAGAGTTATATAATCATAGTTGAAAGAGACCACAAGGGCTATCCAGCCCAATCCATCAGTGGAGTTTAATAATGAGAGATATGCAGTTGTTAATTCTCATGCATTTGTTATTTGCACTGTGGTCTCTGGGAATGCATAGCACAAGGTGAGGACATAAATTACCTGAGCTTGGTTCTACAGTGAGAAAAGACACTTGTCAAAGAGGGTTCTGTCTCAGAAGATTCTTATTCCAAGAAATAAAATCGCAAAGGGAATTGTCTCATGTTCTCCGCTGCAACAAATGTACCCATGAAACCCTTCTGATCTCTTCCAAAATGCTGTTCAACCTGTCCAAATGAACCCATTCCATGTTTTAGCTCCCAAACATGTTAAACACCTTGGATAGATAATTTAAGACAAGGACTAGAACCCAGAGCAGAATCAGCACTGCTACCAGTTTCCACAGCCTTGGAATTGTTACACCCACTATCTTGGAGCAACGTAACCACATAGAATGCAAGACCCTTGTGTCACTGAACAGCTGTATAACAGAAGGAAGTTTGAGCAGATCTACCTTTTCACTCAACATAGCCCTTGAAGAAGCCAGCTCCATCTGCTCACGTTTTCTTTTTTACACAGCTGATTGCAGTTATTCCCTGTTGTCTTCATGAGCTCATTTTGCATTTCTGAGTTGTAAGGATAACAGATCCCTTTTCATTATCTGTGGCAACAGCAACGAAGCTAAACACACCATGCATGAATAAAATAATCCTTTTATTATTGTATTTCTTAAGTATAGTTTTTGCTCTTTATGGAAGAAGAGGCAGACTGGCATGACACAGATACATTATTCTCCATCTGCAAGGATGTAGCTTTGCTGACAGAAACATTAGTCTTTAACTTAATCCAAACTTCCTAAATACCACAAGGCTTTAATAAGAAAAATAAGGGTGGGTGGGGGACATAGTTTTATTTCCTTTATTTCATTCCTGGCATTCATTCTGCTTCCACTAAGCCACAAAGAAAATGCAATGGCTTTATCACCGATTCTCATGAGCAGTTCCAGCATGGTGGCCACTCTGCCAGCCTATTCATTTTATTACATAGAGGTAGCCATGCAAAGAAGAGAGTTTGCAAAGAATCTTCACTGGCTCTTAGCAAAGTCAAAGAGTAATTCTTTGACCAGCATGCTAAAATTCAATGGAAACATGGTTCTTGGCATGGCAGCCTCTGCATAACCAAATGTCTGGAAACAGTTGTGAGTGCCATTCCAGAAATGGGCTTGAGAATCACCCCTAAGAATATCAGCCTAAGGTTCTCTCAATGAGCAAAACTACTTCTGTCCAAGGTCCAGGATGAAGGTGGGTAGATTTGGGGTGGAGGAGGTATTTTATTATGTTTTAATCTTTACTACCTTGGTAGCTTTGCAAGAATGGGAGTGGAAAGACACTGAGATTGCATGTGAAGATGGTGGGGGGAAATGGCTGTTTCCAGGACCTGGTGACTGGAATTTCCCCATAATTTGATCTTACATAATTGGATCCCTTGGGCTCTTTACCTCCATCCCCTAATAAGGAGTCAGGGTAGTCCAAATCCAGGACTTGCTAGGCAAAGCAAAAAAATATGGAAGTCAGTGTCTTGTGTAATAATTGGAGCTACTCTACCCAAATTGACTGGGATTCATTCTGAACATTATAGTGGCAGCTAGTGCTCTGTGTCAGTGGAGTGGTGAATTTGATCCAAGTTTTAAGGTGGCCAACCAAGGCACTGAACCTATTTTGGGGCTAAGGCTCAGTACCTTGGATCATTCATTTAAAGTTCGGACTAGAACCTGGCATGAATTCCCCACCCCACAGACATGGAAGTCACCAGCTGCCACCAAAACATTGTGAGTCCATCAAAGAGAAAGAGAATTTTCTCATATTTCTAAGTTACACAGTCCTGCTCTAAAACAAGACAGAGGTTTATTTTTAACGTGAGGTTTGAATAGGTCTTCAAATGGGAATCAGAATGAAAGAGAATTTAGATAGGAAGCTCAGCATCAGCCACCAAACTGTTCTCTAGTTCAGCCTGTGGCCTGATCAATCCCAGCAACAGAATTCATCTTGTAAACATGACAGCTACATCTACATCAGGAGATGTTAAGAGTACAAGAATCAAACAAGAATCAAAATCCATATAACATTTACATAGATCAGTCATCTTTTTTTTTGTATACACAGTAATACAGTCACAATATATATATGCGTGTGTATATATATACCTTTTAGTTTTAAATTACACAATCAATGTACAAAAAACAGGTGCATTGCTGAGACAACAGCATTCCCCAATTTTTTTAAAATCTAACAAAACAAAACAAAAGTTGGAAGGTCAGAAAAATCTTGCCTACATTATCCAGTATGCAGCGTGTTTTATTCATTTAGGAATTACACTTGGTCACTGGGTCCAATAATTTGTAAGATAAACAGATTTCAGTCAAAGAGGAATGAATGTAAATGTCCATACAGAAGCCAAGAGACTGTTGTGCAGGAGGCTGATATCTAAGGAAAGACATTGGTACTCATACTATGAAAAAGATAGCATAATCTAGGATAACACTACACTAGACATAAGCCCCTTGGGGCCCTGGAAAGGTAGATAATATGCAAAAGGGCACTCTTAATTGGAGGAAGGTAGCCCGTAACCAGATACTGAAAAGGAGGCTTCTAGAAAACAGAAACAAATGGCATAAGATCTCCAGTATGGGATTGTGTGAAGAGAGCAAATTACTAAACCAGTCTCCTACAACTTGGCTCAGGAAGCTGGGAATTGTAGCCCAAGACATCTGGGGGAAAGTTGGGAAATCCTATTTTGGTCAATGGGAGGTAGCTGGATGACAGATTCACCTGATTCCATCACTTCAAAATATGTTAGTCAAAATTGGGACAAGCCCAATCGATGTGCACCATGGATGATACGCAACCATTTATACAAGGGATAATGTGCTATTGTGAAGAAAGGAATTTGGGAAAGGGACCACCAAGAACTTCACTCATAACTATTTCTCCATTTGTCCTTCTAGTTTCAAAAACAAGAAAAGATTGCAAGGGAAACATGTCTTTGAGTAAAAGAGAAGATTTCACCCATGTTAAAGAAGACTGTGAAAATAAAAATATAGGCAAACATAAACAGTGATTGTAGCTTCCATCCATTAGGGGAAGGAATAGCTCTTGCTTTAAAAGGCCTATGTGAAATAAACTATTTTCAAGATCCATGTAGCATACAACTATTAAATAAGTTTTTTGTAGAGATAGCTTCAGTTCTGAGGTTACAAGGGGAATGTAGTTGCTCTCAAGTGTTACTAAAATTATGCTTTTAAAGTGGCAGCAGAGAAAGTGTAGCCCTGCTGATGTTGTTGGGTTTGGACAACCATCAGGCCCAATCAATATAGCCAATGCTCAGGAATTATGGTAGTTGGAGACTTGTTGATCTAGAGCACTAGAGATTCCTCATGCAGCCTTAAAGCAATTGCATCATATTTCACTTAATCAGTAGTGAGTTTAGGCAAGATCTTCCTTCTTTTTTGACTATGTGCTGTAACTTTTCTTGACACAGATCTTGATTTCTTAATTATAGTAGGTTGCATCCCTCACAATCCACTCCATGAACCAAAGGGGCTTCTATTCATGGATAGACTCCTTCTGTAAAACATTTCTCCTTTCATAAACATTGGTCCTTCAACACAAGAAGCTCTTATACTGGATGCACTCCATATGTTTCTACATCCTTATTCAACAAATCTATGCTTCCACTACCAACTTCATTACCATGATGATGATGATTGGAGACTTGCTGTATTGCTGTATCCATGGTTAGGAGATGAAATGTGCAAATATATTTAAGGACACTCCACCCTGTAGTTCTGCGCAACCACCACAGAGATTAATAGGGATTATGTTCAATGGGAATATGGCACAGAACTTCTTGGTGGGTTGTCCTGTTGGCCAATAGCTAGATAGTACAATATTTTCACTTGTTTCTTTATTCATATTTTTCTGGTTCAAATTGAAGCCCTGTTTTCAAGTAGGACAAACACTTTTTGGGATATTTAAATTACAACATGCTGGGAACACTTGAAAATAGAGAAAGCTCAATTTATTCGCACAAAAAAGATTACTGAAACTAAAATATGTTCAGAGCTCAATTTTAAATTTCAATGATTTTTTGGACCAGGCATTATAAAAGAAACTGCCATCCTCTCCTAGTTTCCCCCACTGCAACATTAGTCAGTGACAAAGTTTTCTCTTGAGCTAATTGTCAATGATCCAGGTGAAGCAAGGAAGAAAAATATTACCTAGGATCATATAATATACAGGTCTACATATATAGACCTTAGAGCAGAAGCTATTCCAAGAATAATTTTTTGATACCCAGCATAAACAGATAAGTAATTTTGCTTAAGTTAGATTTCCCTTGTTATCACAGACTTTACAGAGTCTGGTTTATATTTGACAAACCTAGGTAACCAGAGATACTGTACTCAGTCTAAAGGGTTTGAACTGTTTGACCTACAAGCTCAGGAATAAAGGAATTTCAACAGAAACATGCAGTGTTCAAGTCCCTTTCTTGCATTTCATGCAGCTGCTACTTAAGCCCAAACCTGTTAGTTATCAGCTGCTACTGCCTTATACAATCAATTATATATAAATAAATCTTAATTTACCGAGTCTCCATTGATGCAGTGGGTCTGTTCCAGTTGTGACTAACCATTAAATTGTTCATCTTGGAAGAAGTTTTTAAAAAGATTTTTTGGGTTCTGCAAAACACTGTTGAAGATTACCTATCCATCCTTTGCTTCAGATACCGTTTCACATTACACAGTTATATCACTATGATCCCACTTTAACTATCATGACAACAGCCCATGGAATCCTAGGATTTGCAGTTTAGGAATGGTTATTTAGAATTCTCATCCAGAGAGCCAAACTGGACCACCCAACTGCAAATCCCAGGATTCCATAAGAAGTTTCCATAGCAGCTCAAATTGAATCATAGTGCTATAACTGTGTAATATGAAAGGGCTCAAGAGACATAGCATCTTGTTTTATATTCACTGATTTCTGCAAATTTCTCCTAGCATTCAATCACTCAACTGCATTGCTGTCTCCGAAGTATGTTCAACATCCATGAACAAATTGTGTTGCAAATATATGTTAGTTGCACCCTACACACAACTGGCTTTCTTCCACTACCTTTGGGACATCTGTCTGGCACCTCCACCAGCATCTATAACTAGTCCATTTCATCTATTGAATATCTTTGAAGCCAAATGCCACATTGTGAATCCACATTAATGACTGCATGCCTCCTTCATCATGCATTATGTACACTGATCATCCCCTTGCTCCAGTTGATAGCAAGATGCATTCTCAAGTTCTATCCGATCTGCATGATATAATAAACCAACAGCACAATATTACAAAGCATGATATTGTTAGTATTTGACATTACACATCAACTTCTTAGGACTTTATGAAATGTTCTCCTTGGCTTTGATTCCATTCAAAGATATGCTTCTGGTAGCATCCCAACTGTGTGCAGCAACTTCACAGTCATCTTGTTTTGAAGAAGCAAACCTCTGGAGACCATAACAAAACAAACACACTTCTCTATCAAAGGTTGGTAGTCAGTCTGAATGCGTAGACAGCCATTAGCTTTCGTAGATTTGCATCTCATTGCTCTCCTGCCTCAGTGCTATCTCTTAGACTGGAAACAGCAGAGAAAATTGTGTTATGCAGAGGTATTGAAGGGATACATCTGCTCCACTGTCATTTGATCAGGCATCCAGTGATGCAGTCCAATTCCTCAAGACAAGCTGGGAGAAATGAACTGGTGAGGTACACTTTGATCGTTTGCATAGGGTCTCCATCATAAGCTCAGAACCTTGTCCTGTTCAAGTCAGTAAAATTAAATGCCACATTATTCTTCAATCTGATGGGGAAAATAGTGTGCCATGGCTCTCTGGAGTGAAGCCTTTAATTCATATCATACACATACAATACTCCAATTAATACAATGACTCTGGGAGATTACTTGGATGATAGAATATTACAGCATAAGAATACTGACTAGATCATCATTGAGAAGGCAAAGGATATATCTGTTTTTCTTTTCAAAATGAGACAAGATAATAAATAAAATCCAGATCAGGTGGAGTGGAATAACAAATCAAGTGGGTGTTTGCTTCCATCTTTTCAAAGAGAGTGATTTGGATTGGCCCCAGTAGCTAAAGTGCCGGAAGTTTCAAATAGTTCAAGCCAATTGGAAGGTGGCTCATCAATACATTATCCTTAAAAACCAACCAATCAGAAGTCTTGTTGGTTAGGCTTTAAAGGCTTGAGGTATTGGCTTTCACTTACAAAACAAGCCCTCAACAGACAATGTCGACCTTTCATTTTTCATTATCTCAAAAAAAGATTAACGCGACCACAAAATACTCTTCAGAGATGGCTATTAAAAAAATAAGATTGGTTGGAAAATATGTTTAGATCTCTAACTGTGCTGAGTGACTGGACGGCAAGATGGCTACTTGGCTGGCAAATAGTAATGGGAGTTGACAGAGGGTTGGTTTGTTGTTTTCTGACAGCAGTGATGAGAGCATGACAGAACTAGATAGACTCCACGTAATTAGCTGGATAAAGACCAAGTTGCCCATTGTCTAGACGACCTCTGCACCACCCTTGTTCATCTTCTTCTCCCAATTTGGTTAATTCATCACCTAGAAGAAGAATAACAAATATGAAGTTGGGGGTTCAATATAGGATACCACCCTTGTATCATTATAAAGGATAACCTGTACACAATGAACAGACATTAACCTTTTTTTCCAAATTGATTTTTACAAAGGCAAGAAGGGGAATGGTCTCTTTGAATTCTATTGGGATCTAACAGTCTTTATAAATAGTAGTTGCTGAGACACATGTAAGCTGAAAGCCATATATGTATATAAAGAATCAATGTTAGAAAGAAATCTCTTCCTAAATCCCTAGAACACACCTGATCTTTGCTTTACACGACAACTAATAATCTCATTAGGTTAAACCTGATAATAGATGTAGCACATTTCTAAAATTAGTGCTTCCTCAAGTAATAAAAAAACATATGCTTGTTATAGCACACGAGTGTCCTCCTCTATGTATTTTGGATTTAATATGTTCTGTTCTATGTTGGGCCCATAGGAAGTAAAAGCAAACTTGATTTGCAAATCTGATTACTGAGGCATGCATCTCTGAGGAAATCCCATTGTGGGAGTAAAACAAGTTTAATTGTAGTTTGTTTGAGGGGAAACGGGTTAATCAAAGGAAATATGCATTGTTCTTAATATTGTGTTTGACCCTCAGTAACCTCATTTTACCATTTCTTTTTGCCATACCTGCTTTGAAACTCAGTTCATCTTGTTCCTGTCCATCGTAATCATACAGAGCTCGTACACGCACACCTTTTGCAGCTGGCTCTTCCTCAAAGGAGTTGGCACCGCCATTGGCTTCGTTGGAGTTGTAGGTGTTGCCGCCCTCATCGTCTGACCACTCTGCAGCGTAGGCTTGGTTACGGTCATAGCTGCTCACACTAGTAATGCAATGTGGTGTTATGAGAACTGATACTACAGCATAAAGTTTTCAGATATGTCCAACAATGCAAGGTGGGTGACTATAATGTCACTTTGCTCCCACTAGGTCATTAGCCCAAGGACTCCTATTCCTTCTGGATACATCTTATAGGGGCTCACTTGGCATACTCACCTGCCACGGTCACCAGATTGGGCTGCTGCCTCTCCACCTGAACCAACACTGGATGTGTTGCCTCCTTCATTCTTCTTAGGTTTCTCTTTCTTTGCCACTGCTTGGGTTGCATCAGGATTCCATTCCTGCAGATAAAGCAATGTCATCCTGGCAGCTCTGCAGTGATTCTCCTAAACCCCATGCTATGCCCCAATGTTAAGCATAAGACAGGCCCAGCCATATCTGGCTAGAAGGTCATCTAGTCCAGCATTTTATTTGCTGTGGAGACTATCATATACTTTTGGAAAACCACAGCCATGGGATTAAGTCAGTTGCTCTTCCCTGTTGCTTCATAGCACCAGTCATTTATCACTGACACACGGACTTTCTTGACATCAAGGTTTCAGTTAAACATTGTGATTACTGATAGATAGCATGAGCAGCAAGTCGCTGAACCAATAAACTACAGCCTATTCATGGAACTGTCTCTGTAAGGGACATCTTAAGGGGATAACTTCTTACCTCTACCTGAGGCCAGTTCATTGGCATCCCTGGGCCGCTAGTGTTGCGGAACCACCGAAGGTCTTCCTGTGCATCAGCCATGCGAATGGTCTGTTCCAGCTCACGGTAGACTTTAGAATAGCTGCATGTTACAAAAAGACATACACACAAACACACGTCTTTCAAAATAATGCATCACTAAGATGGAAAACCACCAACAAAGGGAAACGCAGAGGCAGAGTGAGTAGTAAAACATGTGTTTTGCTGGCAAAAAGTGAAAGGGCCAGTCCCAGGTATCTCCATGTTACAACTGGGAAAGATACTTATCAGAAAATTTAAGAACTGCTGTCAGTCAATATAAATAATAACACAACTAGATGGTTCACTTCTTTGACCTGATATAAGGCTGCATCTGATGTTCCTAATCCAGAAATGGAGAAACAGGTTCTCTGTGTCACACCTCAGAATAGGTTCACCTTGCTGAAAACACCAAACTGCACACAGCCAGAAGTCTTTATAGTTTATTAAAAAGTAAAAGATAAAAAGTTCTTAAAAGCAAAAGTAATGTTCTAAAAGATCAATACAAAATAACACTTTGAAGCATGATCCAAAAAGGCACCAGCAAAAGCAAAATCCCATGAGAACATGACTGAGTCCTGAGACCATGAATACAAGAACTGCAAGATAATCCAGACAAGCAAAATGCAAGCTTCTTGGTTAAATGAAAAGTTGCTGTGACAAAGGTTTGGTCCCAAACACACTATTTAATACCCTTTGCAAAACATGAAGGCGTTTCTTTGGCCTCTGACCTACTTCTTGTTAGCTATTCTCACACTCCTTCGAACTCTGAATTCCAAACGGTCAGCACGATCTAAGGTTCCCGTTTTGTCAAGGCCAGTCTGTTCATTAGTGTTATCAAGTTTGCCATCCTGCTCATTATCAGGCTGAGAACTGTCCTCCTTTTCTGAGTCAATTTGCACCTGCACCTGGCTAGTTTCAGTATCAACAAACTCAGTTCTTGCTGTGGGAAACTGAACTTTTCCTCCCTGTTCCTCATTGACTATAACACCCTGTTCCTCATTGACTATAACAAGGACATTTGGAACCAGATTGTGAACCTGAATCCCATCATCCTCATCAGAAGCACTCTGTGGTTCCATCTGAGTCACAACACTCTGTGTGCTGTGGGAACAGATCCATCACTTGGACAACTGGATGGACTTGCTGGGACAGATGGAAATCAGTTCAAGGGAACCTCAGTTTTCAAGCCATTAAAAAAATAAAACATGAAATCCAAATTCTCATATTGTTTAAGTAAACACAAGGTGGCACCAGCAGCATACATGCATTTGCCAATAATTGTATCCCACCCATCTGCATCCAAAAGTACAAGGGTATTTTCAAAGGAGGCATATTTTGTGATATTATCCCCACTCACTCAACAAATGCTCACCCTGTGCATATCTGGATACCACCCCCTGCAAAATCCAAGGGTTTAGGCCAGCTGTATGGCCTCTATCCCAAGAGGAACTTTAAAATCCCAATTCCTCTTGCATTTTTTGCCTGTCTTAAAGGGCCCTGAATTCTACCTCAATACATGAATGAGAATGATATCCCCTGCAGGTGGCACTGAAAAATGCACCAGGAACTTGTTACTTGACTGTGAAAACACCATCCTTCACTCCAGACCTCTATGACTGGATCTTCACATACCACAGGATGAGATGGCTAATCCAAATGGCAAAAGAGACTATATAAATTTATACCGAAAGTAAATAATCACCACCACACTTGCAAGCAGAAAACTAGCACAGAGATTACTGGGCAATAAATGTTTTATATATATATATATATATATATATATATATATATATATATATATATATATATATATATAGAGTGTAATTTTCAACTTGCAGGGAGTTTTCCCACAAACCTAATTTCATGGGAAACATCACAGAATCGTATTACTCCTAATGTAGTGGTAGGGACATATATCCTCCTGTAAACCATGGCCCTGCAGCTCCCACTACCTGTTACTACTGGTTGCATACCAGCAATATCAAGATGGCCATATATTCACTCTTCGGTCTGGAACAGCTGGATGCCTACATTTTCAATGTTGTGATCAACCACACACATGAAAAACACCATCCTAGACCACTTTTATTTCTTTTACATGATACACCTATATGAATGCATCCAGACACTGCAAGCTAAGTACACTGAGGTTGAACCTAAGATTAGTCCTTTCTCATTGACCAGCAATACCCATCATAGAAATAAGGAACTGGGAAGAGATTCTAAAAGGCTGTCTCTACTCAGCTCCTGAATTTGTACAGGAAAACCAGAGCTAGGGCAACTCAACAAGTGGTTGTCCAACCTCAGCTTGAAAACCTCCAGTGAGGAAAACCTACTCTTAGGAAAGAGGTTTTACTGCTGAACTGTAGGGTAGCAGAGGTGAAAGCAGAGGCATGAACCAATATCAGCATGAGTATCACCTGCACTACCTTACACTGTATGTTCTTCACAGGCATATCTACATAACATTCTTTACATTACACTGTATGTTCCCCACTTTACATGGTGCTATATTAGGTGAATGAGAAGTTCTAACAGAGACATATCCAGAGACAGCAAGGGAGGGCAGCAACACTAGGGAATGGATTCCAGCCCCACTAACAGAGCACCAACTATCAAACTAATCACTGGAGAGGTCTCTGAAGCTGCCTACAATGTTTGAGAGGAAGGTGATGATATACCTGCTGTTCTCTGCCAAGTTCAGGTGTCTCTTGATATCTAAAAGCATCTCTTTCATGAAGTTGAGCCTTTTCTCTTCAAATTGCTGGCACTGCTCAAAGACCTGCTCCATGCTCTCCATGTACTGTGGAGTACACTTACTCAGCTCTTCCACCACCTTCTCGTACTTTTCTTGGGTCTGCATGTACAACAAAGGATTATGGTTAAGACCCATTTAATGAGACCTGACCCCAATTCTATTCAGAAGAGACTCCTCCAGGTGACTTTAAGGGCCAAATATTAAATGCGCTTAAAGATGTCTAGTTCCACTGTTATCAATACTACAAAATGGATCTATTTCAATTTCGGAGCATTCCTAAGCAAGTTCACTTATAAAGTAAATTCAATTGCATTAAAGGTTTACTCCCAGTAGATGTGCATTGGATTGATGCCTTAATTATTTATCTGCATCATGTATTTGTTACATCACAGTGCTGAAATTAAAGTAGTTCATGCTAATTTATTGTGAGTTACAATTATTGATCCTGCACACTTCATAGGGACTGCTCCAAAGGGCAAATATTGTTGATTAAAATTATTACAGAAATATATGTATACATAATCCTCAAATTGACTCTTGAACAGGGCTTCATCTCTTACTTTTTTGGAGTCCATACAGCTACTGGTTAGTGACCATAATTTAGAACTAATACTGCATAGGAAATTCTGGGACTTGTAATCTTTAAAATTAACTTTTCCAACTCTGCTCTGCATGTCTTCATAATTGTTGTTGTCTTGTGTAAAGAGTTGAAATAGTAATTTGTCCCTGAACACATGGGAAGTGAAAAATGGCTTGATATCAAGGAAATGCAATAGCCCTTGGTATCTACTGCAGTTTGGTTGCAGGATTACCCTGTGGATATCAAAAGCTGTGAATGCTCAAGTCTTATTATATGCAATTCCATAGTGAAATGATGCCCCTTATAAAAATGGCAAAATCAACGTTTGTTTTTGGATTTTGTTTTAGCATGCAGATATTTTAAAGCTAAGAATGATTACATCAACTGATACAGAGGGTCAAATGTATAAACAATGCATGACAAATTAAATAAACCTTACTCACCAATAAAACCAAGTAATTGTCTAATAATGAAAGTGAATTCTGAGCCCATCACTGTCCTCCCTTTTTCTCTCACCTTCCACATGTTAACACCTGTTCCCTAACAGACCTAAACTGGTTCTGAATGTCCCTATTCAGCATATGACGGCATCTCAATAACATAGAGACAGCACACTAGCCTTTCCTTCTACTCTGCAAAGTCATAATCCAGCCTGCAGAGGTTCTTTCATCCAAAAAGCCTTGGAATGGCCCATTGCTGTGCAGCAGCAATTAAAAAGCAAGGCACTAGATGGCATGACTTCAGAGGTGCAATGCAGTCTGCAAAATAATCTTCATATACATTTGCAGTTAATGGTGTCAGTGCTTGACCTGAAGACAGTATCCAGAGCTGCTTTATCAGCTCACAAGCTATGAAATATTCGATATTTTTAAGCTTCTTTCTTGTAGCAGTTTATGTGTCCATCTTTCTTTCCCTGCATTTAGCAAAGTAGCACCAGTTTCACCCTAGGTCCTACAACAAGGTAGAGAGCCTGATTAGGAGGTACTGCAAGACACTGCTGTATAGAAGAAAGGAGCTATCATCCACACAGAGTTTACTCTAAAGAGCTAGAGGAAAGTACTGGTCCTAGAATACGATTAGCAACTGCATTTTCAGCAATGATGACCCTAGCATCTTGGCTTATTGTGGCCACAGCTCTTGTGTGTGTGTGTGTGCATGTGAGTGTGCATTTCTGCTACCTTAAGCCAACTATAGTTGTGCACTAAAGGAAGTGTGAAAGTGTTGAGGGAGGGTAAGCAAGTGGAAATTATTCTTAAAAGTCAATTATCAGGAAGCAAAATTAGGGATTTCCTATCCACTCTAATCCCCCCATATCAAGAAAAAGAAGCTGCTTGACTCTCTTGCCAATTACATCCAGACCATGTGACTTACAAAGGAAAGGATGTGCACACATGAGGACATTTCAAATCACAATGGTGTATGTGCAAAGATAAGAATGAGTCTGAACAGGCATGAGAGAGAATAAACTTTGGGAGTGTGTGTGTGAATGTACCACCCTCTGTTGTGTCAGCTCCACTGGCTGCCTGTACACTTCCAAGCACAATTCAAAGTGCTGGTCTTCCTATAAAGCCCTATATGGTTCTGACCCAGCTTACCTGTCTGAATGTATCTCCCTCTACATCCCACCTCAGAATTTAAGATCATCCAGGGAGGCCTTGCTCTCAGCCCCACCACCTTTGCAAGTGCGTTTGGTGGGGACGAGGGACAGGGCCTTCTCACTGGTGATCCCCCACCTGTGGAACGCCCTCCCTAGCAAAATTAGGTTGGCTTCATCCCTCCTCTCTTTTAGAAAAAGATTGAAAACATGGGTTTGGGACCAGGCATTTGGACTGTAGGCTTGGCAGTGTTCACAGTGTTTGAACTTTGACATAGGACAGGCTTCGGACTGAATCGTCAATCACTAAATCAGATCTGGATTCGGCCATACGATGAATGATAATAATGTTTTAATGTATTTTAATTCAATGTTTTATCTCTTGCATAATGTTGTTATATTGTATTTTATATGTTGTCAGCATCGAATTGCTGCCATTGTAAACCGCCCTGAGTCCCCCTTTCTGGGGTTGAGAAGGATGGGGTAGAAATATTGGAAATTAAATAAATACATAAATAAATAAATAATGTGTGCGCACAGAAGAGGAACGACATTGAGTGTGTGCATAAATATTATGTGTATATTCCCTTATTTGTAACAATAGATGAATGTATGATGAAAAACATTTGGGTTTGTATAAAAGTGAACACAAACATATTGCATTTTGTATAATATTTAGCTCTGGACCTTTTTCTGCATCTATTCATATATTTCTCTGACTTAAGCAAAACTGGAATGTTTCACAGTGATACATGTACTGTCCATAGTTTACCTACTGAGATTTATCCATTCACTTCTACCTTTTGTACATCCTGCTTGCACCGTTCCACCTTGTCTTGCAGTTTCTTCTGCTGGTCTGGGGTGATGGACTGTTCAGCTTTGCTGTTGGCTTCTCGGGTCATAGCAAGCTTCTCTTCTTTGCATGCCAAGTGATATGATTTCTTGGCTGTTTCCAGCTGGTTTGAGTTGAGACAGAAGGAAAGGAATGCAAGTGGATGACTACAGATTCTCTGTGCAAGATTCTGAATACTGCCATTTATGGAACTTGTGTGTTAAAACTGCTTAAGCAAAGAATCCCATTCCATTTTACACCCTCTATTCCCTTACTAAGCTTATTACCCAATCCCAATTTGACAACTCCAGTAAACTGCAAAATAGCATAGTTTTGACGCCCTCATGTACTGCATTTCTTTTAGCTCATGATAATTCTTTCTCTGCAACAATTATGGCATTTTAGCTCTACCCTGTTGTAAGCTATACTGGGTCTCAGTTTGGAAGCAAGGAATAAAGATAAACAATCTCTTTGATCTTGGGTTTTTTTTAAAAAATCACTACAGTTTTGTATTTCAGGATTCTAAGAAGGACATCAGATATCACAAAGGCAAAATACATGGTTCAGAGTCATAAGCACAACTATATGAATTTATATAAAACTAGATAAACAACTTATAATTCCCATGGATCTCTTGTGTGACTTACAGATACTGAGATCCAACTAGGTCTCTGAAGGCATATAACCAAAATCACAAAGACAGGTCTCTAAACATACCCATAGAGCCTTTCTACCTGGTGTCCTTCATGTCATCCTGCAAATATTACTTTGTTTGCCTAAGGAAAAAACAGACCCCTGCCTCATGTTCCAGCATACTCTGATTCTTAAGCGCCATGAGAAAGCTATCTCAACCACGGCTGAAGAAAGCGACTCGGCTTCTTTCCTCCTTAGAACTAATGAAGCCATGAGGCACTCTGCCCTTCTTCTCTCCTCTTCCAGCCCTTCCTACCTCCTTCATCTTCTTGGCCCAGGGTTTCTGTGCTTTCCGAAAGCCATCCTCTGCTTCCTTGGCCTCCTTGAAGCCTCCCATGATCTGTTTGTGGAAGGCATCCTTCTGCCAGTTCTTCACCTTCTCGAAGTCATCATTCAGCAAGCTGTTCTTCACTTCCTGATGCAGTTCGCTCACCTTGTCTGCTTCTGTCATTATGGCCATCCACGCTTTCTCCAAACTGCCATATTGTGGCCCTATGCACCAAGAGCACCAGCAAATCTGGGGTGACCATTGGGCATCCTGAAATCACAGCCTGTTCTCCCCTTATAGACTATACATTTTCGTAATGTAATCACAAGTGAATATATGGCATGTCACATTTCTTTTCTTAGTAGCATGACAGAGAGATTGAAAACACAAAGCGGCTAAGATAAGTATTTAGACATTTAGAGTTCAGAGTGTGGAAATGCACTATTTTGTACAACAACTTCCAGAATCCCTCAGGCTGGATCTACACTGTCCTATAACCCAGGATCCGATTCCAGGTTATCTGCTTTGAACTGGATTATATGAGTCTCCACTGCCAGATAATTTGGGATAAGCAGATAATCTGGGACCAGATCCTGGGATATAGGGCAGTGTAGATCCAACCTTAGCCAACATAGTCCCTGAAGTCCTGCTGGCTGAAGAGTTCTGAGAGAAGTACTTCAGAAGATTAACTTCTCCAAGCACTGATCTAATTCTAGACAGATTTTATTTGCAATTGTAAGGATTCAGCTATGTTACTGGAAAGACAACCCCTCTCCCAAACATGCCCCCATCGTTTTGTTGCCATCCTCCCCTATTTTTTAAGTTTTATTTTTGTGCAAGCACTGCATCCGAGCACTCACATTCTAGCTATGGCATTCAACTACTCTCTTATTGCATCCTAAACCAATAAAAAGGAATATAAGATGGAAACTATTACATGTGATATGGAAGATCAAAATCTCCAGTGAGTTTGTGCTGATTTCTTAATCACCTTTCCCATGTAGCTAACTTGAAGACTAGGGATGCAATATGAAGAAAAGGCTAAATTATTCCACCCTGCACTTTCCAGGACTTGTAAGTAACAACATAGGGGGTCGCTAATAAAACAAACAAATTACCAGCCATCAGATATCTTAAATGTAGATCTTCTTTGCCATGTTTTGTTTAGCTCACTGCATGCCAACCCAGCAAGGTTACATATTATACCACTCCATCCCTTCTCTTACTGTATATACTCGAGTATAAGCCAGGTTTTTCAGCCCTTTTTTAGGCTGAAAAAGCCCCCCTCTATGCTCGAGTCAAGGTTATTTATTATTTTACCGTTATTTTATTATTTTTATTACATTTATTATTTTACTCTATTATTATTATTATTATTATTATTATTACATTTGGTACATTATTTTACTCTATAATTATTATTACATTTATTATTTTACATTTATTAATTTACTCTATATTAGTGTTATTATTACATTTATTATTTTAATCTCTTTATTATTATAGGAAGTATACGTAAGCACATTTATATTGAAGAAGGTTAGAATAATGGTATAATCAGAGTTGATCAGTCTTATCTTAAATTCAAGTTTTATGTAATAATTCAAAAACATTTTACATATTGATGCCTCAATTAATGTAATTTCATTGGTATCTTTTTTTAAAAAAAAATACCAGTAGCTGCTGCATTTCCCTCAGCTTATACTGAAGTCAATACATTTTCCCAGTTTTTTGGGGTAAAATTAGGTGCCTCGGCTTATATTTGGATCGGCTTATCCTCGTGTATATACGGAATAAAGCAGTCTTTTTCAAATCATTAGGGGAGTTGTAGTCCAACCTTTCTGGAAGGCACCAAACTGGAGGAAAGCGGGAATAGTTTATCATGCTGCAGGTAATGGATCTGTCCTTGCAAGACTATAAATTAAGGTTGTGATTAATTGCATATTCATTGAACCCAGTTGGTTTTCTTCCTTCCTAAGCATGCATTTGATTGAACTGCAAAGAGTGCAGGTTTTGTCAGGCTTAAGATACTCATTGGCTTTTATTATTTCTCCAATTCTTTTTATAAATAGTTTAATATGTTGAAATTTATTCTATGTTATTATTCTAATTCATATATTATAAATTTATTGAGCTAACACTTTAAAAAAACGCCCTGAGCTAAAGTCTCTGTGGTGGTTTGAAGCTTCCAATAAGGGGCAATAACAGCATGTTAATTAAGTCACGAAATTTGAAATGAAAATAATTAATCTGATGGAATTCCTGGTGAAACATTCTTTATGGTAAACAGCTATCCATATTTTCTGTCTTCCAACATGTCTCCCTCTCACCCCAGTCTTGGAAAACATAATAAAAAATACCTTTCTCTATTAGTTGCCTCCACCGTTTGGACCAATCTACCAGCTGCTGGGAATATGCTTTCTCAATCTTGGCCCGTTCATGGACACAGTTCATCAAGTCATTGCACAGACGATACCCATCATCAATCCGTTTCACCGTCCGTTTGTAGTTTCCCACCTGCCAGACACACAAACAGATACATTGGAATTGGCTGTAATCCCATGAACATCCCAGAGGCCAGATTGGTTCAGAGTAACCAGAGCTTGGCAGGGAAAAGAACAATGAAGATGCATGTGGTGGACAAGTAAAAATGAGGTATTTCAATTTAAAAAGACAAACTGTAGACAAAAGTATAGTGTTTTCTGTGGCCATTTTGATCACTCTTACCCATTGGGTCTGAGTCTTGTCCTGAAATCTTCCAAGCATATTAGCAGAGCCTGAAATAATTTTATTGGATTACAGCCCCCAGAATCCTTGAGCCAACATGGCCAATTGGCAGGGAAAGGGTGGGGAAAGAGTGCCCTGTAAAATATGCTTGGTGCCAAGGCCAATGCGAGCCTCCCAGGTTCTGTTAAACTTTTGCCACAAGAGTTTTTTAATGGGAACTTTTAGTTTACCTTCAAATGCCTCTATGGGACATGTGACAATTCTTTCCATGCCTCTATGGGACATGGGACAATTCTTTTGCTTCCTTGGGACCATTTCACTTGCCACTCCTTGGCCAGAACATCATTTCCTGTTCATTAGGCAATCAAGGATTATGTTTGTAGCCTAGAAAATGGTGTCATGCAATTAGATAGCCCAGTGTTTCTCAAACTGTGCTCCTTGAGGTGTTTTGGACTTCCTCTCCCAGAATTCCCAGTCAGTTTACTGGCTGTTAGGAATTGTAGGAGCTGAAGTCCAAAACATTTGGAGGAGCACGCTCTGAAGTAGCCAATCAGACACACCAAACGCATTGAGAATGGGGAGTGGGTAGGACAAGACGACAAAACTTCCTAAACTGATAAGTTTTTTGGAGTGCTTTGTTAGCTGCTCCAAGTCCCTTTGGGGAGATGGTAGTGAGGTACAAAGATATAATAATAATAATAATAATAATAATAATAATAATAATAATATACATCATCACCAATTGGTCTCATGTAGAAATTCCTTTATTTATTTATTTATTTAGAGCTTTTATAACCCGGTCTTCTTGACCTCCGGGGAGGGACTCGGGCTGTCTTTCCAATGATATTGCTTCAATGACATGTTTTGAAGACTAGAACCTAAGACTGAAATGGGAATTACAGCTCTGAAAGCCCCATAGGCAGTAGGATTTCTGAGAATTCTGATCCATAAAAGTAACTTTCCATAGGACTATTTGGAAAAAAGCACCTCAAATGATTGGCTGTTTCCAGAAGGGGTTTCATGTCTTTTTGCCTCGTTGCCTATGCCCCAAAACTGTGGCATTTTCTGCAGAGCCGTTCCTATGGAACCTATGGTTTCCCTTCTCAAGAATATTGGGGATTTTTATTGGGTGAACAAGAGCCACCAGTCAGGAAAATTACTTGTATTAACTCACCAGGCAAGGTTGGGCTGGACTTTCAAGAGATTGTGTGATGTTGCCTTTCTCCTGAGCCAGCATCTCTTCAGTTGATATACATTGTGCAGTATTCTGTGCAAAGGAGTGGCAGAACCCTTACCTCCCAGAAGCTGTCAGTTATTTCTTCAGCAGATGCTGTAGACTCATCATAAGAGCCTGACATGGTTTGCGGCTCTTGTTGTTTATTGCCAAATCTTCAGTCACTCTGCAGGCAGCACCAGACCTCATGCACTATAGAGGGAGGGAGAAATAAAAGAGAAAGAAAAAGAGTCATTCAACTCCTAGATGGATTGGCGATAGGCAGACGGCTTCCCAGCCCCAAAGCTCATCCTTGGTCACTTTGCTTCTCTTAGCTGATCATCTCATTATATGTATTCAAGCCATGCTCTCCCACTCTCCCACTCTCCCACTGCCTATTTTTCCCAGAAATGTCTACACATATCTGAACCCAGATTTAGAGAACACATATCCTGAGTAACTGGTGTAATCTGTGGCTAGCTGTCCAGGTTTTCTTCTTCTCTCTCCAGGGATGTATCTATTAAGACATAATAGCCTGGAGCAAGCACTTCAAGGGCAGAAGGCTTTTCCTCTTATCAACAAGTTATAAACATAAGAGAAGATAAATGCAAGTGTGTCATGTTTTAAAGTGATACCTTAAAGTGGAAGAATTTTTTGTTTGAATTTTATGCAGTTGTCTGCAGATGATAAAGACGTCTTAGAGAGATCCCCCGAATGACCACAGAAGAGTTTTCATGCCTACAGAAAATGTGACCGTCTTTTCCCCATGTGCATTTTCTTGAAACATATGCAAATTAAACTAAATCCATTCCCTGCCCTCACTATTATTTCAGCATACACTCAATGGTCTGTAGGACAGTCAGGTTTTCAAAACAGCAATAAGGGACTATCAACATTCATGGTCCATGACACTAACAATAACAGAGCAGCCGTTAATATAGTATGTCCTGTTTGAATAACAAATAAAAGTTCACTTAGCTGTGTTTTCCTCTTTAAAACCATAAGCGATAACTCATGTGATACACAAATTTCTTTTGTCATGAAAACCCAATTTTAAATTGGATTAAAACAGAACCCAATTTAATCATAACAGAAATGCTTGACAACTATGTTTAAAATTCAGAGTAACCCGCTTCTCAGATTTGGTTCGATTTACAAAAAGTCTATTCCTTTCATCAATCTTATTTTGGAGTAAAGAACTGAAAAACCCTTTTCTACAAAAAGCCTTTGACTCGGAAGAACAGATGGTTGTCGTTGTTGGTGTGTGCCTTCAAGCCTGACTTATAGCAACTCTAAGGAAAACCTCCCACAGGGTTTTCTTTGTAAGATTTGCTCAGAGGGGGATTGCCTTTGTCTGAACCTAAGAGTGTTTGAATTGCCTAAGGTGAGATATCAGTTTCATCAATATCCACAGCTTCTGTGATGAGTAGGGATTCAAACCATGGTCTCCAGAGCCATAGTCCAATGCTCAAATCATTATATCATGCTGCCTCTCAAACAACAGATCCCAAGCTCCAACAACACTTGCACCCAATTGGTAGGTTCTCAAATTAAAAGAGGACACTGGGCAACCCTAGTGGCCCAGATGTTGCCCACTCCTGTTCTAGACATAACTGAGAAAAGATGGTGAAACTAATAGCTCATCCTATACCTTATCACTGAAAAGGTCCAGGGTTTCTCTGCAGGGAATTCAGCTCTTCATCAGAAAGAAAAGTTTCCCCAGTATATTCTCGATTCAAGAGACATTGCTTTCAATGCTCAGTAGTATGTCAGGCAAAAAGGCATCAACATCAGCTTAAAATATGATTGTACTAGGAAATACTGGATATCCCCTTTTGCAGCAGCATAAAAAGGATTTAGATTAATGTAGCACCTTGTTAAGGAAAGCATACGTTGCTAAAAGAACCCTTTCCTCTACTTTTAACCTTAAATTAATGGGGGTTGGCACATGTGAAAGCACTGCTATCTTAGGGTGAGCCACTGGTTCCGTATACAGGTTTTAAAGGAGGTTGCCATGTTAGACAATCACATGCAAAACAATTGTTTCATATATTGCTTGAACCATAACAACATGTAATAGATTTGTAATAGATTTGCATAAGAAGTTAACAATATAATCACATAAAGTAAGTAGGGAAAACCAATACTGACTGCCAGTTCTAAGATTCCCATTTGGAATGGGTAGGAAAGCAAGAAAGAAAGAAGAAAAGAAAAGGAAATAAAATAAACAACACTCTCCCAGGAAATCAAGAAAGGGCTTCTTTTCTACTGTGTCTGAGACATTTGCCTTTCTCTCTGCAGTCCCAACCTGCCTTCTGTAGTTGGCAGTAAACTCTGAGACAAATTAAATTCTAGCAGCAGAAAGTGTTTGGAATTGGAAAGAGGCCTCTCAAATCCCCAGGAAAAAGAAGAGATAATACACATAACAGCTCAGGCAGATTTAACCCTCACATTACATTTATTTCTCAGTCATCCGTACCATCACTCTTTAAAAATCCTACTCAATTCTGAGGGTTATTATGTAATATCTGGATTGATGCGACTGCTGCCATAACTGGCCCATGCTGTACGATAAAACATCTCTGAACTGGGACATGATGCTCAGCCTTGAATCATAACCTGATAGACATCCATTTATGCTGCAGTACGCACACATATACATCTATACCTATTCATCCTTAAATAACAATGTCTCTTGCTATGGGTGGGAACCAAAATGAGCATGTTCTGAACATTTTTATCTAATTTGTATTGATCCTCAGGTTAAATTGGATCCCTACAGAGGTGGGGCAAGTAACTTTATTATGCTGATGCTAAATTTCATCAAAAATCAAGCCTCAAAGTGACCTGAAATAACTTTTGTGTTGAAATCACTTGGATTTTGACCCAAACAAGCCGTATGCCTTATTTTATAGGAAAATTGTACTCATGAGGAGTAGCATCAGGGGTGTGTGTTCAAAATGGTGATGTCCACTGGCAGCCCACAGCGATATAAAAAGACCATCTTTATTAATTCCTCAGTATAAATATCTTTAAAAATCAACCACAGGAAAAGGAGACTAGATATAGGCCTAGAAGAGAAGATTATGGAGGGGAGAAATGGTTCATGGTCAGTGAACCTTGTTTCGTTTGGGATGACTAGGTGCAAACAGAGGCCAAATCCCTAACATTTTAATAGTAGAGCAAATTAAAGTATTTTGACAGATTCAGTTTTCCTGACTCATGTAGCACTATGACAAGACACACTGTGATGCCCCAAAGGTCCCCCTCTCCACATAAATATTAAAGGCACAGGATTATTTACTTCTGCTGCATCTAGTCAGCCTGTTTCTATTTTGCTGACATGAAGTATCAACTCAAAGTGTCTTTTGCTTATGGTAGTGGTGGATTTCAGGAAACTGTAGTTCAAAAAGCAACCTGGTATGGCTTGTTCTGGTATGGCTTTATTAACACAATTGTTCTCTGGTATCAGTTGGATTTTATTCAAAGAACTAGTACAATGAATGTGAGTCCAACACTGCTTCTCACCCCTGTTTCAAAATAAAAGGAAGCCTTGGAAAAGCTATTGTGTTACACAAGGCTGTGTGGTCTATTAATTATAGTGATGATTTTTGAGGATGTAAGATTTATGTGTGAAGTGCAACTTTGAGGGAGGACTCTAGAGCCATCATTTAAGAGTCTATTATATTGATATATAGGGCTCTTGATATAAAATGTACTCAACCCAGAAATCATTCATCCACAAGCCTCCTTAGAAAGACAAAGTTGCATAGGAAGAAAACCTCCAAGGTGAACAACAGAAGGCTGTGCTGGAGAAAAACAGCACTTGGAAGGGAAACACCAACCCATCCACATTCTAGAAGAGCACTGGCACTCAGCCGGTGGTACCATCTGCTGGCTGCCATTTGGAACAGCCTTAAAGTACAATGAAATCAAGCTCAGAGGTGACAAGGGGTCCATTTGGTGAGCCAATACTTCAGGAGCCAAAAGCAGTCACAGAACCATCCAGCCAAGGAGAAATTGTGGAAGGTTTGGTCTGAGCTAGCATGGAATAGCATCTATTAAGGAGTGGTACCTCGGCTATTCAGGCTTTGGAACTGGAACAGTGCATTTTCTGGTATGTGTGTGTGTTGGGGGGGGGGGGGGGGGGAGCTCAGCAGCCATGAATGATTCATAGCTACAGCCTTCTGGATTCTGTACTGAAATGGTTACTGGAGATTCTGAGCTTGTTGCAAAGGCTGACTTCTAGAGCTCACTGCAGTGGAACTAATAGTGCCTTGAAGGGATTTAGTGATATAACTCAGGAATCTACCAATCCAAGTCTTTCCTATAAATAAATGTCTCACTGTGAGTCCCTTGCATACTGAGATAGAGACACAGCCATGTGCAATGTAGACTCATGTACACAGAGAACAACTTGTGACACTGCAGTGCATGTTTATGGCACTGCAGTGCATGCACGACACAGAACATATTAATCTCCAGAAACAACATTGGGAAGCAAAGTAAGAAACAAACCACACAATCTATATAATTGAGACAAACATCAAGCAATCACAGCAGTGCATGACAGCATGTTTGCACAAACATGTGAATTGACCCCTATGGAGAATGGTAGGTTACATACCTGTGACCATCTTTCTTCGAGTGGTGCTCTGCGAATTCACACTTGTGGAGAGACTGCGCCTGCGCGGGCTCCAACAGAAACTTCTACATTTTAAAACTTTTCAAGTTTTGGCGGTAACCCCGCCCAGCCCCGGCAGGGGATAAAAGGGCGCCCCGCGCACACCGATCCAATTCCTACGCCGCTACGGTAGCGAGAAATTGGAGGTTTGCTTAGAGGGGAGGCTGGGCGGGTTAGTGTGAATTCGCAGAGCACCACTCGAAGAAAGATGGTCACAGGTATGTAACCTACCATTTTTCTTCGTGGTCTCTGCGAATGCACACTTGTGGAGACTAGCAAGCTCAGGTCCCGGAGGCGGGAAGAAGGCAAACCGACTATTCAAGTCAAGGGCCAAACAATTTTATTAAGTGCAAACAGTTACCAAACAAGAGATTGCAATCACTTCCGAAGAAGGGCACAGTGCATAAAGCTTATGGGAGTACGTGATCCTCCCGGTCACGTGAAGGTGACCAATTTACAGTGAAAGACACTCAACAAATGAGGGCATTCTTGAACAATCAAATAAACTTTTGACCCTTGGAAAAAAACA